TCATAATAATTTGTGAAAAAGAGCTGCACGTCTGGAAAGAATAAGCATAAAGACATTATGTGATCATGGGAAAAAATAAATATTTTGAGATAAACAGCAATGGAAAAAAAAAAGAAACACAAACTCTTTGAAGATAATACTGCTTCCTTTTCTATCTTTGAGTCTAATTAAAATTCTAGTAATGATTCATTCTAGCAACAGAAAATAAGTAAAAACTTAAAATAAGTTTTGCTAAAATAGTCAAGTAAGTAAAATGCATATCAACTTTTATTTTGAAATATTACTTACAAAGAGCTTTTATTTAGCTACCAATACTAAAAAGTGATTTAGAACTTACTATGTATCAGCCATTGTGCTAAGCACTTCGCATACATTATCCCATTTAGATTTTAATTATTTCATTTGCTCAGGAAAAAAAGCATAATTTAGCATTGAGCAAACTATAGACAACTTATCCAACACTTAGAATTTGCCATATATATGAAATATATATATATTCACAACCACTCTTCACTTAACATGTTCCACTGCCATTACCAACATTTACCAAGGGCCTACTATGTACCATCACTGGACTAGGCACTGAGGATAAAAAAAAAAACAGGAACAAGACCAAAGTCATTGCCCTTAAATGGTTCACAGATGAGCACAGGAGATAAACAAGTAAACAAACCCTTTTAAAAGAATATAGAAACTGTGTTAGTCCTTTCCTCAAAGCATCATAGCAGAGGAAACAGACATAAGGGATCACCTCACAGATCTTAATAAGGCAGCGGCATTAAGGAATGAAACAAGAGAACATATTCTAGAAAACTTTAAGTAGTAGAAGCAGCAGGAACAGGTGACTGATTTGGAGGTGGGAAGGAACCACGTCACTCCCACAGGACAAAGACAGCCATAGGAAAGAAGAGTTTGGTTTTACACACGGCGAGTTTGAATGCTTGTAAAGCACTTAAGTGGGCCTCTACAGTAGACAACTAGAGAGACAAGTTATCCAGGCTGGTGATGCATTTGAAATCAAGAGCACATAGGTAGTAACTGGGGCAGTGGCAAAAGATGAGATTATTGGATAAAGAGTATAAAATGAGAAGAGGGCCAAGTAGAGGCTGGAGTACACCATCGTTTAAGAAGCAGGAAAAGAACAGTGTATAGGCCACTAAGCCACAAGCCTTCTCATCCCACACCACTCTTCAAAAGACAAAGCAGGGCCGGCCCCGTGGCTTAGCGGTTAAGTGCGTGCGCTCCGCTGCCGGCGGCCCGGGTTCGGATCCCGGGTGCGCACTGAGGCACCACTCCTCCAGCCATGCTGAGGCCGCGTCCCACATACAGCAACTAGAAGGATGTGCAGCTATGACAGACAACTATGTACTGGGGCTTTGGGGGAAAAATAAATAAATAAAATCTTTAAAAAAAAAAAAAAGACAAAGCAAAACAAAATTTTGCGTTTACATACTGTGAAACCTATCTATGCACTTAATTCATCCACGCAACAAACATTTACCGTGCATTTCCTAAGTCATAAAGCATTTTGCTAGCTGCTAAAAACAACATAGTTCTTTTTTTTTTTCTGTTTTGAGGAAGACTGGACGTCCGTTGCCAATCTTCCTCTTTTTGCTGAGGAAGATGGGCCCTGAGCTAACATCTGTGCCCATCTTCCACTATTTTGTATATAGGACACCGCCACAGCATGGCTTGATGAGCGGTGCATAGGTCCACACCTGGGATCTGAACCTGCAAACTCTGGGCCACCGAAGCAGAGCGTGCGAACTTAACCACTACACCACCAGGCCGGCCCTGACAGCATAGTTCTTAATCATAAAAATCTAGCTAAGAGAGGAACAGTACAGCAAATAGGTTAAGAGCACAGGATCTAGGTTGCCATTCAAATCTCGGCTCTGCCATTTACTTCCTGGGTGACCTTGGGCAAAATACTTAGCCTCCTGGTGCTTCCACTTCCTTATCTACAACAAGGATCATAATAGTATCTATTCCTATGTGGCCGCTATGAAGAGTAAATGAGTTAAGAACTATGTCATGAGGACCAGTGCTTGACATAGAATAAACGCTCAATAAATGTTAGTTATATTGTTTGCTGTTATAAAAATTACCAGAATGGCTGCATGAGTGCAATAATAATACAAATAAACAGTGCTATCAGATTTCACAAGATGGAAAAAGGACTCACTTGGGGGGAATTCAGGGAGCACTTTAATAAGCTGTCCCTCAGGGCAAGGCTAGCTCGCACAGTGCCTCTGTGTGAATTAGAATGCAGCCTGCAGGTACACGTGATGAGGAGGATAGCCTGGATTTCTATCATCACTCAAACCCCTCGACAAGCACCTTTCTGCAGGATATAACCAACACAGCCATACATGGCAGCCTGGAAGATAGGCCACATAAGCTAAAGAAAGGTGAAGAGAATATTCTGGTAAAAATGTAGAAGAAAGGCTGTAAGCTATCAAGAATATAGTATATCCAAGCCCAAACTGGCAACAGTAGTAACCCAGATTGGCTAAAGCACAGGGACCATTTAGAAGAGCTGAAGATAAATCCAGCAAGATAGATGGGAGCCAGATCACAGAGGGTCTTGAATACCAGCAAAGGCACTCAGCAGTGACTCTATGAGCAGGAGAGTAATGTGATTCCAATAGTGCTTCAGTAAGAGTAATCTGTCATTATGTACTGAATGGACTTGAGCTTGTACAGGTAAGAGGTCACTGCAGTGGTCTGCTAGTCTGTGAGTTCCTCAAAGGCAGGGACTGTGGATCTCATTCATTTCTGAATCCTCCAAACTGACAAAGTACTTGCGACCAAGTAGGTACTCAATAACTGTCTGAGGTATAAATGAATCAATGAGCGAAAAAGAAGTAAAGTGAGCCTTAATTAGAGTGGGAATAGTGGAAATAGAAAGATACATACTAGAAAAATACTGCAGAGACAGAAACAAGGATATTTGCTGGCTGATGAAATGTGGCAAGGATAGGGCAGAATCAATAGACTGTAAAACTGATAAATACTTTACTGCATTACAGGTTTCTGTGAAAAGCAAACATAATTTTGTTCATGAAAATGCTCCATGAAAAAAAGACTGCTTTTCTCTGGAATAAAAGCTAGTCATCTTGCACAGGTACACTACTATATTTGATCTTGAATATATCTCATCATTTTAAGACATTTATCTTCCTTTTGTCTTCACTAGATTATAAAACCTTTAAGAGTACACAATGTGTCTACTCTGTTATGAAGCACAATAAAACCTTAGTAAGTGTTGCTTTAATTAACACTTTCTCACTCATAAAAGAAACTATTATTAAACCTAATTCAGCTATACACCATCAAAATACACACACACACACAGAGATACATACACACTTACATAGATATATATACACACAAAACACTGTTTTGTGAATGTAGTCTTAGCAGGCTGTGAACTCCCACAACGCATGTTTATTTTTCTTCATATTCCCAGGGTGTCTGGTAATGAGTATTAGAGGTGCTCAATAAATGTTCATTGAACTGAAATGAATTGACTCAGGAATCTCACAGGGCTTATCAATGGTTCCTGGTAGCCTTTAGGTTTTCCTCTCCCAGTCTCAGTGCTCTTCTCACTGTTCATTAAATTTATACTGTAGAAGAACGAGATCCATAATGAGGGTGGTTAATACAGAAAAAAGAAAAATCAAGAAATATGACTGTCAATATGTACGATCAGTGGTAGGCCAGTAAATGTGTAACAACCAGCTCAGGGTGGGGTGGGAAGCCCGATTTTCAGTATTTGCCAATTTCCATGGTTTAAATACTCCCACCATGGCCTCTCTCTCAAGCTAACAACATGATATCAACTGGTTTGCAAAATTCCTGAAAAATTTAATAATTGGTTCTTACAAACAAGCATGAGCCAGCTCCAACACACCACTGCATGCAATATTTAGATGCACGGCACACATGACATGATCCCAAATTCTGTTCTGCAATACTACCTTCTATGCTGCCAAAAGAAGGAGAAGGCAGGGAAAATCCACGCCCTATTCCTGTAAAGCCTTTACCTCAATCTACAAAGTAGTCTTCTTTTCAACTGGGCATATGATCCAGCCCAGAAATCCTTTTGCCTAGGCCAGTGACATCCAAACTTTTCTGATGGTGTACCCTAATCAGCAAAAAATGTTTAAGCATACATCATCAATATATGTTAATATATTTATTTATAAATTATATTAGAGCTACTATACTAATATAGTATAAATTATAAGGCATACACAAAAAACAAATTTTAAAAGTAAGATAAAAATTAATACAAATGAAAAATAAAAATTTCCCTCCCACATCCCAATGGACCATCTTCCATACCCCCTGGGGGTTTACACAATCCAGTTTAGAGATTACTAAAGCCAACATTAAAAGTAAAATGAATAACTTCCTGGACCTGTTTCCCCTAGGCCTACAACTTAATCTTATTAGATCTTCCCACTCCAATGCTGAAAAAGGGCGAGCACCAACCCACAGAAAAGACAGGAGAAAAGAGTTAGCAAGGTCTTGAGCAAAGTTGGCCTAAGGAGAAGCAGGTTAGAGACTCCTCTTAGAATACAAGCTCCATGGAATTAAGACTCCATGGGAATGAATCACGAGAGAGGCTCCAAAGACATCATCCTACCCAGAGTTTTCAACTCCATAAAGCAACATACCCTAGTACCTACCATGTCCCAATAATGTCCCTGGACCTAAGCCATCTGCATCAGTTCAGGCAAACACAAGGGCTGGGAGGAACCTTGAGTTTCCCCTAAAGACCAAATACATCCTCAAAATAAGTGTAATATTAATAAAATCTTAAGTTGGGAAATATAGAGTACAAGACTATGCCAGATACATAGACATCATACAGAACAGATACAGCTCTTCTTTTCTATATGCAGGCAGTCCCCTGGCAGATCACAGTTTAAGATAAACATGCTGCTCTCTAATCAAAAACACTATTACTCAAGGATACAAGCTATATAAAACTGATCTTTCTTAAGTACACATAAATTAACTAAAGAGGACAAGACAGTAGCCAATCATAAAAATACTGTATTACATCACACTATCTTTGAGAATCACAATGTGCTGCTCTAGTTTCCTGGCTTTCTTCTTCTTAATTTCTATACTAACTTGGCTAAAAAATATCAAGAAAGAAAAACAAAAAACACCTTCATCGGGTTCACAGAACACTGAAGCCTGTCCTAAGGAAGATTTTACAAACACGTTCAAAAACACTTAAGGAAACTACATGCCTTCTGAAGAAGTGGCCCAGGGAAAGTTGTATTGCTTTTCCTTTCTTGTTGCCAATTTCCCTGTCATCCATATAAAGCATTAAAGATGAAGCTGCCTTCATCCCTGCTCCGACAGAAAAAAAAAACAGAAACAGAAAAAAAGAAATTTCTAAGCCACCCTCTCATCAAGACTAGCAACATTTAACATGAAGGCATCAACCCCTTTTTAACTATTCTTTTCATCCTTTGATCCCTTATTACATAGTTGCTTCACGTGGTCTTAAGACTCAAAGCTGGCTGAAATGATAACCAAATTAAAAGATCCCCACACCTACCAATTTATCTACCTTCCCATCTGTTGAATCTTCCCTGTTTCTTCCCTTCTCTAAGGAAGATGGGGTCCGTTCTCCAGGGTAACTAAGTGCCCTAATAAAAATTATTTAAAAAAATATATTACTGGCTCTTACTTCAGTAAGGCTGTCTAAACATAAATGATTATCTCTCTTTTCTTCCAAATTCCCATTGAAACAAGAGAAAAAATAGTTTACAACTAAATTAAAAAACATAATCACACTAGAAAACAAAAAAGAGTGCCATTAGCAGATTAGAGTTTAAGAAAACTCTAGATCCATGGTTCTCAAACTGTAGCTTGCATCAAAATAACCTAGAGGGCTGGGAAAAACACAGAGTGCAGGACTCCACCCTCGGGGTTTCTGATTCAGTAGGTCTGGGGTGGGGCTCAAGATTTTGTATGTCTAACAAGTTCCCAGGTGATGCTAATTCTGCTAGTCTGAGAATCAGACCACACTAAGTAAACAGATTATTAAAAGGAATATTTTTGATTAATTCTAATCAGCACCCTCAGAGAGATGCAAACAAATGGCACAAACTTTTTTTTTTCCAGTGGATAAGAACAGCAATTGGAAAATAAGAAACAGTTCTGGAAAATTGGAAAGAATATAATTTCTGGATTTAAAAAAAATCAGAAGGGCTAAATAGCAACTAAAACTCAATATAGCAGCGTGGAAAATAGTTTAAGACATCTTCCAAAACACAGAGCAAAGGACAAAGAGATGGAGAATATAAGAGAAAAATTAACAAGCATAAAAGGTCAAAATCTACCTAACAGGTTTCTGAAGAGAGAACAAACACATCACAAAAAGTAATCAATGACGAAATTTTCCCTAAGCTGAAAAAGACTCAAGCCTTGATACTGCCTGGCCAATTTCCAAAGAGGTAAAAAATTTTAAAGGCAACTACTAGTCGCATATTTGTAACATATCTAAACTTAAAAGACATAAAGAAAACTCTAAAAGCTTTGAGGGGAAAAAAACACAGGTTATTACAAAGCAATATGAATCAGACTAGCATCAGATATCTCATTAGCATGCTAGAAGAAAAGGGACTACTGTTTTCAAGATTGAGAGAGGGAATTATTTTGAACTTGGAATTCTACATCTAGTCAAACTATCAAATATAAAGGCAAAATAAAGACATCTTTGGAAATTCAAGAACTAAGAAAATTGACTTCCTATATGTATTACTTTCCTACTTCTACTATAAAAAATTACCAAAAAAGTCCAAAATGGGTTTCAAAGAGCTAAAATCAAGGTGTTGGCAGGATTACATACCTTATGGAGGCTCTTGGAAAAAATCCACTTCCTTACCTTTTCTAGCTTCTAGGGGCTGCCTGAATTTCTTGACCAATGGTTCCCCTCCATTTTCACCATTATTAAATGTAATAAGCACTTATGGCAGATTTTTGAGTTCCTTAAAGACATGCAAATAACTAGAGCTATACTTTATAGCTTCTGACAGTAAATGAAAAACAGAAAATCTGCATTTTCTTTGTCATTACCTTAAAAAACATTTTAATAAATTAATATTTCTATTAATAAACACCTACCGAATCATTCGCTGCTAGTGCAAGTGCCAGGTTCACTGTAAGAAACAAAAAAGAAATTAAATTTAGTAACTTTCCTTCTACTAAAATTCATTTTGCCTTTTAATACTTTCTTTCCCCCCGCCCCCCAAAGCCCCAGTAGATAGTTGTATGTCATAGTTGCACAGCCTTCCACATAGTTGCTGTATGCGGGACGCGGCCTCAGCATGGCCGGAGAAGCTGTGCGTTGGTGCGCGCCCGGGATCTGAACCCAGGCCCCCGCAGCAGAGCGCCGTGCACTTAACCGCTAAGCCACGGGGCCGGCCCGGCCTTTTAATATTTTCAATGTAATAACCAAAGCACAGAAATTTTTAATATCTCTCTCTTACTTGTAAAAAATAAGTACAAGGAGAGAATACAGAAAGCAAAAATGACAAAAAAAAAAAGTAATATTCCAGCGTAAGCAACAGAGGCTTGCCCCAAAATTAACATTGTAAATGATCCATTTATCATCTGTTGCAACTTTGTTTAAATAATCCACCTAGTTTATAAAAAACAATGTTAATGGTATTTGTAGTTCAATTATTTTCAAAAACATATTTTGCAGAAAAATTATCTACCTTTTAATAAATAAAAATGGATATCATCCTATTGCCGTTTTAAAATAAATGCTGATAAAGCAGGAATTCCAAATATCTAAGTCACAAATTCCCATGTATACGAAAGACTGGACCACTATGCAGACGGAAGGGAACAAGGCAAGGGGTAAGGTGGTAAAACGTTCCTTACCAAAACTGCCTCTGCCAGAGAGTCACAAAGACATAAAGGAGGAAGTAGTAATCCCAAAACCACCTTTAGCCCAGCAATAGGGACAAACTACACCTGAGAAAAGAGCTCTGAAAGTAACACATTTCCAAGATTGATAAATAAATAGATCCTCATACCACATTTTCTTGCAGAACAACGTTATAAATGATGTCAAGGTTGTTTCCTTTAAAGTAGTTAAGAGCATAAGCTTTCGAGACAGACCTGGTTCAAATCCCAGTTCCACCACCTTCTACTGTGGAACCTTGAGTAGGATATTCTACTCCCCTAAATCTGCTTCCTCCTCTATAAAATGAGGATAATTCCTATTTCATAACTGTTGTGAGACTTAAATGAAATACTGTCTGTAAAGTACCTAGCTTAAGGCATGGCACTTGACAAATTAATTTTTATAAATTATAAAATAATTCTGAATTTCAGGTACATCAGGTTAAACATAATCCAACTTTTAGGCAGAAACTTAGAGAGTAATCCATTTTAATGGTAGGGTCTTCCTGCATTTATACAATAGAATCACAGAGAGCATGTTTGTATTAATCAAATGTCATCATTCTAATACAAAATATCTCTAGTATACATATTCAAATAGGAAGTATTTTGAGATAGTTTGGGACAGGAATAAATAATATAAGGAAAATAAGCTGTTTCTAAGGCTTATGTATGCAGATAGAGCCGCTATGAAAAAGTATAGGCCAACTGTTTGGGACAGATGGTATAATGTTAACAAAGAAAAAAAGCGAGGAGGGGCCGGCCCCGTGGCAGAGTGGTTAAGTTCGCGCGTTCCACTTTGGCAGCCCAGGGTTCACTGGTTTGGATCCTGGGCGCAGACCTACTCACCACTCATCAAGGCATGCTGAGGTGGCATCCCACATAGAACAACTAGAAGGACCTACAACTAGGATATACAACTATGTAACTCGGGGTTTGGGGAGAAAAAAGAAAAAAAAAAGAGGAGGATTGGCAACAGATGTTAGCTCAGGGCCAATCTTCCTCAGAAAAAAGAAAAAGAAAAAAAAGGAAGGGACATTTACTGAAGCACCTACTATGTGTCACACACTATATATCTTCTCATATATTTTCCTATTTAAATGCTGTCACATTCCATGGCAATAGGTGATCTTCTAACCAAAAACAATAAACAGGTACTAGCCTACAGACCCAAGTTTTAAGTGAGTACTAGCCTACAGACTCAACAAATTATACTGCACAAAACTCAAAGAACTTATGGCAACCATCATGAGAACACCTTCCATCTTTAACCAGCCCAAGTAATCACAGAGCATGCAAAAGGATTCACACCACTGAAAACAGGTAAATGTACTCTGGATTTTAAAAAAGCAAGAAGAGGTGGATTCTAGAAGTAAAGACTAAGAGCTTCTAAATTTTAAAAACAAAACATCAAATAGATTGTAAGCCCTTAGGAATAAAGCAAAAATGTATATGATATAGCATGAATTCCTTAAGAACAACCACTAACTCATCATTTTTTAATAATAATATAGTATTATATATAACTATCATAACTACAACACCTGGTAAAACTTCATTTCTTCAAAACATCTGAAAAACTCTTCCACAATTACCTCCAGGTCAAAATGGGAAAAAAACTGAGCTAATAACACTCTATAGTTGGATTTATAGCTGGTTGTACAACTATTAAACTGCTAGTCCCAAAAAGTACTGAATACGGCTTTAAGTCAAGATACAAGACCTTTAGTGATAGTCACAGCACTCTGCACCAGGCCCTTCTTATTTCAAAATGTCATTGATTTCAATGAACTAAAGAATTTTAAGGTGAATATATGCCCCAACTTTAGGTTAATAAAAAAAAATCAAAATTTGAAAGATTTTGTCAATCTAGAACTATGCCAAAATTAACGAAATGAAATATAATAAGAATAGTCATTTTTTAAAAATCAACTGCAAAAAAAGACAGGTTGATAAGACCTGAATTAGCAGCCATCCCTATTGAAATGACTGAAGATTAAATATGAGGCAACAATAAGACATGAGTGCTTTATGATCCCAAATTAATAATACAAGTGATCTCTGTTGAGGAGGATTGGGAGGAGGGAAGTTACCCTTACACATTGTTATACTGGAATAATTTTTTTAGAAATAAAAGGTTTCTTTTGAAAATTTTGGGCAATGTCTGGTTATTGGTCTTGGATGGTAACTCTTCTATTCCTGGTGGCACGTCTTTTATGCTTTCTTTCCTGAAAGCAGCATTTCAGTCAGAATGAAATCTACGATCAATTTAAAAAGAGCCACCAAAAAAAATTCTCTGCTCCGGTATATGAATACAAAAGGTATAAAGATCAGATGATATTTTAAATAATTAAAACAATGCTAAACCTTTCAAGCATTTTCAAATATTAGATCTATGTTGACTTTACAAATGTTGAAAATTATATTATGGTTAAATGAAAAAAGGTCACGATAAAGTAAACAATCTCATTGCAACTACAAAGCTATATGTACACTGATAAAGACCGGAAAAGAACAAAGAACAGAAATAATTTACTATTAAAGTTACCAGATGTTTTAAAAATAACAATAACAGCAACCAAATATTGAGCCCTTGCTATAGGTGACACTGGGCTGAGTTAGCTTGTTTAATTTGCATAACCATCCTATGAAAAAAGTTATCATCATTGCCATTTCACAGTTAAGTAAACTGAAGATCTGATGGGCAACCTGAACACCTTCTCCTCAGTTAAAGAGTCAAATACTCGGCTATGTATGTATAACTCCCAACTAAGCCCCTAATCACCAGCAACTCCTGATACTAAGGAACCAGCTATTAGAAACTCCACAAATACTAGCTTTTTTAAAAACAAAACTATAATTTTAATACTATGCACTTGCATAAGTTGGCATAAGTTCCTAATCAAGATCAGAATTAATATCCTTTAATACCTGCTGTAGTAGACTTTCCAACGCCACCCTTTCCAGAAGCCACAACTATAACTTGTTTAACACCTTCTATTGGTTTCTGCTTTGGAAGTCCTCGGGACATGAGTTGTGCTCTTCTTTGTTTTAGGGTCTCACTCTCAGCGCCAGACAACTTAAAAAAAAAAAAAAAAGTTTTAAAATAAGCCATCTCCATTGTCATGCTGTAAAAGTAAACACAACTCGGAGTTTGTGATCAAGAGGGCTTTCTTTTCTAGTCTAATTCTGCTCACTTCCATTAGCCTTTAGTGCTATTTACCTACTGCTACTGATCATAATGGTAGAGACATTAAGTTGAAATGTATCTGAAAATACACTGATGTTAAAAATGCAAAGTAAATAAGCTGCCTCTTTACGGAGTTAAATCCTCCACGTGTTTTCCTTCTCTTTAACCTATTATCTAAATAAACCAACACTGAGAAAGCAATGTGCAAGTCACACATCCATGTTCTAAGCATCTATTTTATGTCCCGCCACGCCTCGGCCTGGTCCTACTGGGGGCCTGCCTGGAAAGTGGGGACGTGCAGACAACTGGGATCCCACTGAGCCGCCAAGCGGGCGGGGGTCCACGAGGGACTGAGGCGAGTCCTTGGCAAGAGGCAACGCCAGGGCACCTGCGGCCCTGCTGCCCCAGTATCCGTCCCGCCCGCCTCCTCCTGCCCCGCAGCACCACGGACCTGGCGCCGACAAACCAACACGCGGCTTCCCCGAGGCGGGGCACAGACTCCGCCACCACCCCGAAGCGACCCGCCACCAAAAAGCAGCAAACGCTGCCAAGACCCCATGGCGCAAAATGCTGCGCTGAGCCCAGCCCGGAAACCGTCGCGGCCGGCGCAGGATGATGACGTCACATGGCAACGCTCGGCTTCCTCGCCCTAGTAACTAGCCGCCTTTGAGTTTCTTCAGCCCAGGGACCCAAGTGGTCGTGGTCTCGTTTCCAGCCAGATGCAAAAATTTTACAGCGTCTTACCAAACATTTGTGAAGCGTTTTCACACACCTTATCTCATTTGGTCCTCGCAGAAGTCCTGGAGTGGGTAGGTAGGAGACCCTGACTAGAATCCTCTTCTTATTAGTAAGAAAACTGAGACTTGGCAAGTTTAGAGACTTGACCCGACTGAAATGAAGTGGAAAATAGTGGAACTTGAAAATGACTCCAGGTTTTCTCACTGCACAGAATATAGTCACTTAAACACTGCCACTGTTGATGATTTTACCTTCTTTTCCCCCGAATGATCTACAGTTAATAGTCTGCTTTGTGTTGGTATTTACTACTGTGTTGCTGGCAATTCCCTGAAAGAGAAGTCGGAGTGCTTTGACAGACTGGAAAAAGTTTAGCTAAACCAGAAAGCAGGTCTAATGAAGCAAGTTTCACTCAAGAAGGAACTTAAGTGAAACAAAGCTTGAGGAAGGAGATGGAATTTATCCTGATGGAAGAAAATAACCCCAAATCCAAAACAGCTGAGAGAGTGAAGGAACTCGCTTTAGGAGAGAAGGCTGAAAAGCTGATACAGTAACCCAGACCCAGCAAAAGGATCATTTAGGGTATAGGATGGTTCACCCTCAAATATTCTCCATATTTTCTAAGGTTAATTTTAATTTCTTTTATTTGCTTCTTATCTGTAGAGAGCTTGTTGTATAATCATTCAGTTTATATTGCTCCAATCTGATCTTTAATTTCCTTATCTTTAATACAGGCATAACATATCAACCTCAAAAAATTATTGTAAGGATTAAATGAGATATTACCAGCAAAGTACATTTAGTTAGAAAGCCCTAAAAAAATCAGTTCCTCACTTTTTCTCCCTCATCTCACAACCTCATTGTTTCATTCAGCTTTCTCTATCTTAAACTAGGTTTGACACTTTTAGCTGACTGTTTTATATCACTTTCTTATTTTATTATTTTGTGATATGTTTTCTCAGTTAATCATATCAATTTTTAAATATTTATCTGCTCAATTTTTATAAATTGTAAGCCAAAAGAATAGGGATAAGGGGAATAGCTGTCAGAATAATCCATTTACTAAACAAGAAATGCTGAATATCTGTTTTTCTCCAGGTAGCTTTGTGAGTTCTTCCAGACTACTATCAAAGAGTCATTCACTTAACATATTTATTGAGTAACTATTATGCACCAAGCACTACACTAATCTTAGGGTTTTCAACATTGAACCAGACCTAATCCCTCCACTCAAGGACTTTCCAATCCAATGTGAGAGACAGAATAAGTAAACAAACAATTACAGTACAGTGTGATAAGTGTAGGAGAAAAGCACTGAGTGATACAGAAGGACAAAGAAGGGACACCCGATTCAATCAGGGACGGCTTCTGGATGGGGTAACATCTACTGAATCCTGAGTGTGGGTAATATGTAGGAGTCGGCTAGGAGAACAGCTATGGGGTTGTTGTGCAGAGGTAAGAAATTAATTGTTAAGAAGTGCAAATAATCTGTGTGGCTTGAGGATAGAGTGTGAGGTGCAGGACAGAAGGAGAAGGAAATGGAGATTGGCAAAGATGAAGGTTGCCCGGATCATGAAAGGCTTTATACATCATGTAAAGGAATTTGGACTTTATCCTGAGGGAACCATAGAAGAATATTAAGCAGGAAAGCAACATGATCAGATTTGCATTTTAGAAATACCACTATGGGGCTGGCCCTGTGGCGTAGTGGTTAAGTGCGTGAGCTCCACTGCTGGCAGCCTGAGTTCGGATCCCGGGCATGCACCAACACACCACTTGTCAGGCCATGCTGTGGCGGCATCCCATATAAAGTGGAGGAAGATGGGCACAGATGTTGGCTCAGGGCCAGTCTTCCTCAGCAAAAAGAGGAGGATTGGCATGGATGGTAGCTCAGGGCTGATCTTCCTCACACACACCCCTAAATAAATAAATAAATATTTAAAAAATTTTTTTAAAAAAAGAAATACCACTATGATTACCCAGTAAAAAATGGGTGGGAGGGGCAAGATCAGAGGCAGGGAGACAGGAGTTTGCAGTAATCCAAGAGAGATGTTGAAAGCTTGACTTAACATCTCTAAATGTCACTTTGTTTATCTATAAAATAGATAATACCTACCTGTAGGGTTGTTGTGAGGTAGAATTGAAAATAATGCATGTAGAATGCCTATCACATAGTACACATATTCACTGTGGTAATTGTGGTGATTATGGGTTGTGTAGAGATCTCTCACATGGGCAACTAGATGAATGGTACTGACATTCTCTGAGAGAGAGCATAAAGGGAGGAACAAGTGAGACCAATGTTTGTAAATAAATGAATCATTAATTTGATTTACCTTTCAGCAGACTAGGATATCAGGAGAGTAGTAGAGATGTCCATTGTTTCTTCTCCGTCAACCACTGCCACACACACACACACACACACACACATACTCCTTTGCTCAACTCACTAAGGAAGAACAGGGTGTTGGGGACAGTTTCCTGTCTCTGTTGAATATACTAAATAAAGCTCAGAAACTAGTGCCATTTCCTTCAATTTAAGGTTATTGTCCCCAGCTGAACCTCTCATCCTCTCCAAAGGGCTCATTGATATGAAAACCTCACCCCATCCAAGGCCTTGTCTAAATGACAAACTCATTAATTCACCCAACTTTGCCCCACAGTGTGATTTGTTTCCAAATCTCTCTGCTCATGACTAAGCATGAAACTGTCTCTTACCTTCATCTAATACAAATTTTCACATTAAAATATAGAGTAGTTCTGCCTAGGTGAATAGCTCCCCAATGAGCCAGGCTCTCTGTAGGAAACCTGGTCTAGGAAGTTTGTGGAATTTTCCCATATCAGAGACTTTGCTGGCCTTTCAGTACCTTAGCTCACAAAAACTAGTGCAGTCGAAGAAGCTCCCCATTCCTATAAAAAAAAATTACATAAAGCAATTGTGTGTATGTTCTTAGACTAGATAAGCTTCTGAGAGTATGCTTCCAAATGACTAAAAACCTACCTCTAGCATGAGACAGGATGGGTTTCTAAATGCCAATATCGAAAGCTGGATAAATCATGGGTTCTTTGACATTTGAATTTCTGATTTGTAAGATTGAACTGAATCCTTGGACAAAGGTCACAGGGCTCATGTTATAATTGAATATAGTCCCTAATGTTTAAAGCTTCAAAGAAGATCCTATCCTGAAATAGAAGCCACACAATCAGAATTTAGAGAAAGTATTTGTCACCCAAGGCAAATACTTGCTACACATGGGACCTTAGCATTCCCATGCTTTTGCTTTTTTATTTCATTTAAATAAATTAATTAAATATACCAAACCTGTGTACTTTCAGCCAAGTCCTTCCTGCCCTGCAATTCTATCCTAGAGATTAGAAGACATAAGTTTCTACAAGACTTTGCTAAAACCTTACCTCATTCTGTATTCAGAAGACAATTTTCCTCTGCACTTTAGAGAACATACCAAGGCCGATGATGAAGCAGAGCCCCATTAAGATACAAAAACTTCACTTCAGCTAACGTGAAGTTCTATTTTCTTCAGGGAAAAGGAGAAAATGTAGTATTTTGTGTGTGAGGAAGACTAGCCCTGAGCTAACATCCGATGCCAATCCTCCTCTTTTTGCTGAGGAAGACTGGCCCTGGGCTAACATCTCTACCCATCTTCCTCTACTTTATATGGGATGCCACCACAGCATGGCTTAATGAGTGGTGCATCAGTCCGCGCCCAGGATCTGAACCCGCGAACCCTGGGCTGCTGAAGCAGAGCACGCCAACTTAACCGCTACGCCACCGGGCCTTCCCCAATGTAGATTTTTCTCTGTTTTACCAAAATGTGAGGATGCTGCTTCTACCAAAATATGAGGATGTCCTCTATAATCACATTATTTACATAATATCTTAGTCTACTTTGTGTTCTGGTACCAAATCTTGTCGATTCGTTTATTAACCTTTTCTATTTAGGATTTATTAACCATATAAATAGATATTATACATGATATGTGATAAATATTGCAGGCGCAAAATTTGTTCAGTCCATTTATATAAGTGAAGAACTCCTACCAGATCCCTATAATCTCTCAAAATACTTCTATATTCTGATTTATAGCAACACAGTGGAAATGCCAACATTAAGGGTTATTATAATATGAATTTGCTCTAGGGTAGAACAGCAAACTTAAAAGTAGGAAGTTTGTCTTTGGCCTTCCACACAGCTCTTAAACTGCTTGAAGAATTCCAATCCATACCAACCAAATTTATAGGCAGTATTTGGGTCCATTTTCCAGGGCATCTTCTTCTGTAGCTTAAAAATTAAAATAAAATAAGATTTTCCTGACCACTCATGATTCAGGCTAATGAACTTACTCTCAATCCTATTAGAGGCCATTCACTGACCATAATTCAATAATCCAAAAGCTATTGAAGTGATAATTACTAATCTCTTGCATTTTAGGCTTTCGCAGTCTTTGTTAGTCTTCAAAAGAGATAAAAAAATGTTTTTGCATAGAAAATGTTCATTTTGGGCATAATTGTTCTGAGTAATTTAATAGCTGCTGTTTTGACTTGGTTAGGAATACAAAGAGCTCCTTTAATTACCTGATGAAGTTTCGTCAATTACTCAGAGTCAACAACCTTGTTACATTAGTGCCACACTTAATCTCTTTTGCAAATTTCTAATCATGTGCAAGAATTACTATTTTATTTAACTGAGGCTATTTTTGTGGGGGAACATGCTGGCAATGTGCTGTTGAGAATGCCATTTTTAGATAGAATGCCATTTTTAGAATGCCATGTAGATATCAGTTACCAGTACAACAAAATCAACACCATTTGCTGATGAAATGTATATATATATATGTGAGATTGTATTTTTCTCTAA